ATATACACAGGAAAAATTTTAATTTTAAATTTAGAATTACTAAAACAATATTTTAGCATCAACATTCCTACTAAAAAGGAATACTTTCTTTTTTTTGCTAGTCTTAAACTCTTTCCAGTAAATTTAACTACAAAGTTATTTCACTTTATTTAAACATACAGATCAAAACTTCTGGGTAACATATTCCAAAGCACTCTACAGCAAACTTTCAGACCATGGCTACTGCTAGGAACTGTCCCTTCAGGCATCTCTGAAACTACAGACAAGGTAAGCTACAAGAAAGTCTTGGGGTCCCTACTAATTACTACTATAAATCCCAAAATGTTTCATTTTCAGCATTAATGTATTTTTAAAACAATAGAGCATACCCAGATCCATAGCAATGACCACTCAGTTGCTTCCCCTTACTCATCCCTCCCCCCACTTTGAGGGATTTGGGGAAGAGGAGGAAGGATATCTGTTGTTGCTGTTGGTCTTTGTTTTGGATTTAAGATACCATGGCTTCCTTTCTGGAATTTCACATTTTAGACCACTTTGGTTCACTTAGTCCTCAATTAGTACTCCAACTTTCTGAAATATTATTAACATTTAACTCTTGAGGTCAATCACTAATATATATTTCTTTATTCTTTACATCCTTGTCTACACATGCCTGTACACAAATATAGAGATTTCTGCATTTGAAATAATTTTACTCAGCTTATTTCTTTTAAGTCTCCCAGGTTTTCCAGGAGAGGTAACTCAAATTTATTTTAAAAATCTAAGAATAAATAAAGCCAGATGTTTCATGTTTTTAAGAGTCATGCAAAAACTTGAAATAAACATGTAGCCACTAACATCATACAATTTTGCAATTCTTCTGTGAAAGTACATTGGGTTACCGGTTCTGGGTTTTTTTATGGGAATCTCGTGGTGTTTTGAGAGACTAAGTCAAGGTCTCTTATGAGTCATTTTGGCTACAGAATTCACAGAAACAGCAAACAATTTGTCCTGAAGGAATTCCAGAAGTGCTAACTCTTCAGATGTGTCTCATCAGGGAGATCCTAGTAGGCTAAAGTTTGTCTAACTAAATGCTCACAAACCTTTCATAAAGTCAGGACAGCTGCACATACTGACCGCCAAAATGTAATAAAACTGTCTTTACATTCAGTAGTATTTGCCAAACCAGCATCCCCTTCCTGTTCTTCTGTTTATTCAAATGGTAGCAGCGTTGTAGTATCCAAAATATGTGTTTGTCAGGATCAGATGATAGTATCAGTCTAACTTGTTTACTCTGTGTTTAAAGAAGTGCATGGTTTTAAAGGTATTAAATTTCTCAGTTTAATTTTTCAAACACAAATCCATCTACGAAAGCAGCTCTATCCTAACACAGGTCACTACAGCTCAATAAACAGTTTTCATCAAAGTGCCAAGATCATGATGCGTAACAATGCCTCTCCAGCATGACTAACCATCACTGAGCATCAAGGTCCCAGATTAGCTGTCAAAAGTTGAAGATTCTGCCATTTTATAAAGATTTTTATGCTATTTGTCTTTAGGTTCAAACAGACAATACTTCTAAAGGAAAAAAATACAGTATTATCTCAAGGAATAAGACTTCAGTGGTGAGGCCACAAGGAACAGGTTAAGAACACTAAAATCTGTACCTGAACAAAGCAGGATTTTTAAAAGAAATCTGCTACTTCCCTTCTGTATTACCAGCAACATTCTCACTTCACCAGCTAAAGCTTTGAACTTGGTTTGATGCTAAAACACAGCCTGAAGACACTTCCTCTGGAAAAGCTGACATGAAAGGAATACAGAAGGATCTAAAGGCAAGGGAGGCAGAAGCGCTTCCTTGAAATTCTCCCCTTTCTTCCCTCTCAAAACAGTTAAAATTTGGCCTGCCACAGAGTGACAACAGAACTGACTATGGCCATCCAGGCCACCTTCAAACAATCCCCTGTTCTCGCTCAGTTGCAGAACACCAGCTACAGCACCCACTGATCCTGTTCTGAGATGCTCCTGTGCACATCCCTTGGTTAGTGATATTAGCAGACATGATGAAGGGTCTGAGAACTGCCAGAGCTGGCACAAGAGAAGGGATGGAAACGTGGCACAGGGACAAAGGGAGCAGGTAGAGGATAAGACGGCAGGATAAACAATCAGATTAGCCCAGGCTGTCATAGACCTGCAGCCAGATAAACACTTTTGGTCAGAGAGCCACTTCTGTTTGCCTTGTTGAGGTAGAGAGAAAAACAATCACCTGCTCAACTGAAGAACAAAATTATTTTTAAATATATTAAGAAGTCTATGGTTACCTGCTTTCCTTTTGTATCTCGTGATGATGAAGTAGGAAACTATGTAGAGAACAGCAAAGAGGAGAAAACAGATCTGGAAAAGAAAAAAACCAACAACATTTCCATTTATTAGGTTGTGAAGAAATGCCTGAATTATAAGAGAAAATCCAATATTGATGATTTAAAAATCAAATTCAGATTAAACGTGTATTACATGTAAATGTAAACAGTATTTTTGTTTCATGTCTTATTAATAAAAAGTTAAACCAATACAACCAGTCTGATTACAGTAACAGGTATTGACCTGTTATGACTATATGACCAGTAAGTTTTACACCAAAATTAAGGAAAAAAACCTCATTTACAGTGCAGATTTTTGTTTGGGGGAAGTGTAGGTAGGGTGAGGTGGGCCATGCCAGTTTTTAAAGTCTGAATCCACAGAACTGTAGAAGTTATCATGCTTTGTATCCCTTCACCTCTAACTTCATGGTGACTATTTTATACAAGAGGCTTTTGAACATTTGAGTAAGCTATCAACAAGAGTGGGGGAAAAAAAGCACTTCAGTTTACTATTTCCAACATGTCTTGAATCAAACAAATTCTAGGCAACAATACACACACAGAGACTGATCCACATACAGTGGATGTTCAAGCAGAACTCTATTCAGTAAAAAAGTTGATTCAGAGATGTAGTTGTGAAATTTAATTTTCAGCATCTGTATTTCAGATATCACTGCTGTGTGTTGCCTGAGCAATGAGCTCAGCTGCCACTTTTAGACCCATGGCACTGTAATACTTCAGTGGGACATTTGTAGGGCAGTTGCAAGCACCAAATATCATGCTCAGATGCTTGGTTGTACTTTTTTTTTTTTTTTTTTAACATCCACTGTATGTGGATCAGTCTCTGTGTGTGTATTGTTGCCTAGAATTTGTTTGATTCAAGACATGTTGGAAATAGTAAACTGAAGTGCTTTTTTTTCCCCCACTCTTGTTGATAGCTTACTCAAATGTTCAAAAGCCCCTTGTATAAAATAGTCACCATGAAGTTATTATATATTTAATTTTTAAATAGTAGTATATTTTTTTTAATCAGAAAAAATAAAAGAAACCGAGACCAGCCTTGGGTTCCCAGAATACTCTGACATAGGTTGCCCTTTCCCTAAGGAAAAATGCAATGCCAGGGCTGAAAGAGAGTCCTTCTCCAGGTTCCTCTGAAAACTAGACCAAAGCTACAGATAAAGACATCTAATTTTAGGCATCCACTTCTGAAAATTAGATGTCACACTTACAGGGTCAGTAAAATTATTTTAAAATCTGTCAGACCCAAATAACACTGCTCCTGCATAAAATAAGCTTATTAAGTTAAGTTCCTTTTTTTGTTTTGTTTAATTTTATTTTTAAAAAAGAATTAAAAAAAGACAGCAATCTTGTTTATAACTTCAAATAAAATAGATGACCTTTATTCTATCTGTGACTGCAAGGTTACAATGAAAATGTGGGTCTGTCCTTAGGGTACCACTGAGATAAGGGAGGCATATTGAGGGCACAGCAGGAGAAACCTATCCAGCAACACCAACTGTCAGTGGCTGTATGGCTAGTTTTAGATGACAGCTACTCTGCAACTCAGCAATAAGGTGTAACTATATATCTTGGTGTAATTAGCCCTCTACTTCTGTCAGAATTGAGAACAATTTTGTAAATATTTGATAAAGCTGTTACTGAAAATAAATTTTAAATTATTTACAAGAAAGGAGTTGAGTAAATTATTACCAGTGTAAGCTTTAGGATCTTAACAAGAGTATTCCTAAATTCTTCATACTGACCAAAACAATCCAATTAGCAAACTCAGAAATAATACTTCAGTCTCAATTATACTTAGTGAAATGTGTGATCCTGAACCATGCACTCTGGAGATCTTTCCAAAGGGAGAAGCAAAAGTCAGCATCCTAACTATTTTTAGACTGGAACTCAGTTAAGTTGGGGTAAAGGAATGTGTTGCCCATGATAGCCTAAGGACAGACTCCACTGTTTTGTCACACTGCAATCCTGGGTTATTGCATCTCATGCTGCTCTTTGTTTTCAGGATATTTTTGTACTGGAAAAAAAAAAAATACAGCCTTTATTTCAGTTAATGTTTCTTAATTATGAATGACGGGGCTTGTATGCAGCACTCCAGGTAAGGTCTTACAGCTAAATATAACAGCATTGAGCCTTTCCTTCCGTACTGAAAATACTTCCACACATTCATCTGAGAATCACATTGGTAACTTAGCATTATCCTCTGATCACTGAATCCACCCAGGCTGTCCTCCCCAATTGCTTTCAGCAGAGCAGCTCTCAAGTTTCAGTAGAAACTTGTTTTTAAGGTTCAAACTCATCACCATGTCTATTTTTCCTTTTAAAAAAGCATACCTTAATTTCATTCTACATCTCACAGATCACCGAATCTTAGGGGTTGAAAGGGACTTTGAAAGATCATCTAACCCAACCTCCCTGCCAGAGCAGGATCACCTAGAGCACATCACACAGGAACACGTCCAGGTGGGTTTTGAATGTCTCCAGTGAAGGAGACTCCACAACCTCTCTAGGCAGCCTGTTCCAGTACTCTGTCACTCTACATCTATATTATTTTGGGGTAATAGAGTCCTTTCTGTACCATGTTCTAACTCTCCTTCATATTGACTATATCTAAAGAATGGGGGTTTTGCTAAAAACAGAATTTTTCACTTCCTTTTCATCTAAGTTGAGCAAGTTTGCTCAGTACAGGTACTCAAGGAAACTGAACAGTAATGTGGTTTTTTTTCTCCCCCAAACACAACACCTATTGTCATGTACACCACAGTCACTGTCTTATTCACCTTACAGCTCTTCTACTAAGGCACAGTGACACTAGTCTAAGAAATACCTTTTAGTGTATTTCCTGGATAGCGCAAAAGAAATACTTTACCAATAGTCAAGTGGCTTCAGAAAATACAGTTCTTAACAACTACCTGAAGAACAACTCCTAATTTGACTTAGTTAAAAATTCCCTAGAAGAGGGCAAATTGACATATACATATGTTGATAGTACCTTTCATTCATAACCATTTAATAAAAAGCATAGGTAGTCATACTGAAATAGGGCACTAATCAAAAAGAACACCATACATAAAGCTATAATGGTATCTCCAGCGAAAAAAGAGCCCATATTCATAGAATCATATAATCATTAAGGTTGGAAGGGACCCTAAAGATCATCTAGTTCCAAATCCCCTCCCATGAGCAGGGAACTGGAGCTCAGATGAAGCTCTTCCAGGTTTGACTTCAGGAGACAGTGAAGACACCGTGCAGAGAATGTACATGACTGCTCTGAATAAGGATTTCTGACATTCCTTGATAGTTTCCACTGAAAAAGAAAAAAAAAAAAAACCCACACAACAACAGCAAATAAACAAAACAAAATAAATCCAAACAAATAGTATCTTTCAATCTTAATATTTATTTCCTTTAAATTCATTCCGACTTTACAGAGGGGAAAATTAGTTACAGATCTATTGTCATGCTACGCAGAAGTTACTTTAAACTCAACTAGGGTACTTAGTCACATTATAGAGGAAGTACATGCTGACCATGTTTGACCAGCTGTACCAAATAAGAGAAATTAAGAGAGTTTGAGAATTATGTAGTTATAGTCAAACAGTCAACTAAGGAATTCTTAATAATTTTTGATGGTTTTTTGTGTTCAACACACCACTCAGTAACTGAAAACAAAACACACATTCTATGCTACATCTAAGGGATCCCTTTTAATAGGTGGCATATTTAGCAGTCTTCAACCCTTGAGCATAGAGTTCATTCACATCTCTTTGCATGGACTAAAAACATCCTCTGGGTGGGGGGGGCTGGAGGGGGGGAACTGACTTTCCCTGGAGTTCTTAAGCTCCATTTGAGAAAGGAAGTGCTTCATGCTCCTACCTAGATTACACACTACACCTACCAAGAGAGGCTACTTCTGGAGACACGCTGCACTAAATTCTTAGATATCTTGTATCCAGCTCTTCCATAGAGCCATACTTTTGGATCTGTCATGCTAAACAATCCAAGTATGATCCAAGCCATACCTTTGGATCTGTTGCAGACAGCTCTTAGCTCCTGCAAGAACAGAGCTGGAGATAAACGCACTTCAAGCATTTCAGCTTTTAACTACATGTGTGTTAAGGGGCTGGCACTGAAGATTCCAGCATTGAACACAAGCAACAAAGGTCTAACTCAAATTCCATTGTACTCATCCCACTGAGTTACTAAAAATCTGCTGCCATTAGTTGTCCATGTGGATGATGTTTAAAACTTTGGCACTTAAATGTATGCCTCAGATTGGTAAAGCAACATCTTCTGTTGCAAGTGCCAGAGCTACACTTTCATGCTAAAAAAGGATATGTTCAAAATGCACGAGATTCTCTTTTTTTTCACTGATGTATGAGATACAACCATTCCTCATAACTGTAACTCATGTATATGTGTTCATTAAAAGCTGCATTTTTGTGTACAGCAACGTCAACAGTCTCTCTTCATAGAGCAGAATATTCTTCCCAACTCTTGTGCAGGAAATGTAGCTTATTCTAGGAAGAAAGGATACAGCTGCACTGCCCAATAATTATTCCATACCTGTCAATCAGTGCACCCTGGAAGCAAACACTCCTAAGTACATCTCGGGCTATATTATTGGAAGCAAAGCTGATCATCATGGGGAGTTAATTTTCTCTCTCCAGTCAGCATTAACCAGGTCACATGTAATTGCTGTGTCCAGTTTTGAGCCTCCAATATAGGAAAGACATTGGTAAAAGCAGTAAGATCACCAAGATGGTCAGAAATCTGGAACAATAGTCTGCTGCAGACAGGCTGATGGACCTCAGTTTGTTCAGCCTGAGGACAACAAGGCTTCAGGAGGACCTGAGAGCAGCTTGCCAGTACCTCTGAGAAGGTCATTAAGAATGATGAGCTGGACTCTTGATAGTGGTGCACGGTGGGAGAATATGACTGGAGGTAAAGTGAAAGCCCCTCCACAAGGAGAGCCAAGCAGGGGAACCAACTGCCCAGCAAGGCTGTACTGTCTCCACTCCTGGAGGTTTTCAAGCCCTAAGTAACCTAGCCTGACCCTACTCTGTGAGCTGGAGGCTGAGGTCCAGTCAGCCACCTTTTCTACTATCCTGAATAAAGTAGCACCATTAGAAACTTGTTTAAAAGTATTAGTGTAAGCACAAGCCCCAGCAGGACTGCACCATGGATGGATGTCTTTTCAACTATGAAAAAGCTGGACATCTTACAGGACGTCTTTTAGCAGAAAGGAACCACCACAGAACTCCTTTGCAGAAAGAAGTCACAGACCTTAGTAATGTTCTTTGATGTAACACACTTCCAAGCTTGAAACACAGGTTCAAGATTTCCACTTGAAAAGCATCAAATCCGACAAGTGATCATTTGCTCCCACTTGACTACATATTAGTGTTTAGAATAGAGAGAGAAAATCTGGAGGAGTAAAACAGTGTAGTACAAATCTGCTCACTTCTTCTCCATGAAAGATAAAGAAGCTGTTACTTAAAAGAACATGTCCTTTTTCCCTAAATAGAAATAAAAAGCACAGAGAAAAGAGAAGGCAGAGGTCACCTTGAGTACATCACACTGCAGAATAAGTCTAAAAAATTGTTCAAGAGCTGAAAATTGAACTGTCAGTGTTCTGATTGACCGTGACTACTAACTAGAGAAAAGTAGTTGTATTGTACCTCTGGGTTTTCATTTCTGTAATAGAACACAATTGAACATACACCTTTTGCTGCTCTCTTGCTGTTCAAGTTTTTTTAATGTGCACTGAAATGCACCTAAAAAGCTTCCTTTTACTGTCCCACTTGGCAACTATTGTTTACTTGTGGAAAGGATGGCAGGCATAAACAGCAAGAAAATACAAGTGGAGACAAGCAGTTCTCCTTTGTCTATTTCTAATCCCATTGACATCTAAAAGCAAACAAGATGTTCCACCTGTTTTGGATGTGTCAACAGTAAGCTACCTATAACAAACTATGCACACTAAAGAAAACTAAAATTTTTAGCTATGCTCACAGTATGACCTTGGCATTTGTAATACTATCTGCTTTAGACATCTCATTTTTCCTAAAATTAGGTATTAACTATTTATTCTTAAAAATTCTGTGCTCTGGGTTAGATTCAGTTCATTCTAACCCAACCAGCCCTACAAACCTAGCATGACACACTAAGTTCAAGCTTATGAGAAAATGTTAAATGCATCTTATGACTACACATTAAGTTTACTCATTAACACAGCCCTCCACACCTATGGTTTTCCCCACATGCATGGTCTTCTCTCAGGACTCCTCCCTGGCTTAGATATGTGCAAGAGGTTGACCCACTTTTTTTGTTGGTTCCAGCACATGAAGACATTCTAAGTGGTTTAGATGTCGGGTGCCTAGGCTTGCTCATCTAGGAAAAAAAAATCTAGGATCTAACAAAGTATGAAACATCAAAAAATAGACTCCATGTGCTAGAAACCCCACTCAGCTGAAGATAAAAGCCAGCCTCTGCAGCCCTTCAGAAGGTAGTTTCCATGTACCACTCATGTTAACCAGCAGAAAATCCCCACTTCAACCTAATGAAAAGAATTCAGGTCAATATATGGATCTGTTAGCTTTTACATTTCCTTTTCTAAACTTAATAGGAACACATTTATGTTGCTGGGTAAAGGGAAAAGAATGTTATCACACCTCCACGATCCTTAGTAACTGACCCAAGACACACTGCCATGAATAAAGGTATTCTATACGCAGCAATACACTCACAAACTCTCAAAAAATTACTAAGTAATTTCTTTGACCTGTAAGGGCTACAGCAATGCCATTAAAATCAGATTCAAGAATATTTTTCAGCATTAGTGCAAGCTTTAAAAACACCCTCTACAATCAACACCAATAGCACCAACCTACAATGTGCTAACATTCTGCCACTGAATGAAGGTATTATTCAACATATTAAAGCTAGGCTATTATAATTAACTATATTAAAACTTCCGTCAAATTCAATTAAAAATTCCTTCCTGAAAAAAAACATAAGTCTCATTAATACAAACTTAGTAAACAATTTATTTGTGCTAAGATAACTTCTTTGGCTAATAATTTCCTGTACAAGATGTAAAACTACTTTAAAAGACAAAGCTAATTAATTTTCTCCTCCTAACTCATAAAAATCCTCTTCCTTGTCTTCTCACACATACATAGTGTAGAATTTTTAAGTAGCACTTTTTTTTTCCCCACCCCTACTCCCAAAATACAAACATATTTTAACTGCAATACTTGTATGTTTTCATAATTCTCACCAATTATGCAGACTCTCCACTGGACATAAATTATCACAGTCTTAAACTCAGTACATATTTTAAACATGTTGCTATTGTCGAACTCAACACAAACTCGTAAGCATCGATTCTTGCCATCAGCTAACTATGTTACAAATAGAAAGTACAATTAGGTAATGGAAAAAATGGGATGCTCAAGGGATAAACAGGCACTTGAAATCAAGAGTAAAACTGCAAAGCACCGTGTTTTGGTGACAATCATGGAGTGTTACACAGGAAACCACAGCACTACAAGCCAAGACAGGGCGGGGAACAAAATAATGCACATACACTACTTTTAACTTCTATACATTGAACTCAGTCATATGCAGGCTTAAAGGCCATCTATACACATCCTACTTCCTGTGGAGAGTACACGTGATATGGAAACAAAGCAACTGAAACAAAAATCTTTAGAATAAGATTTTCCACTTAATAAAAGCTTTCAAAGCCCAATTATTACCAAATATTAAAATGGTATGCTCAAATATTTAAACACTATGAAGCACTGGGCTCTTTCTTGGAACCACGTTGATGGTAATTTTTAATAACTTTTAATGCATTCAGTTAATCAAGAAACTAGAAATCTGTGTGGGAAGCAGCTCAGCAACATTACAATATATATTGGATATTAAACTGATAACATCAACATAAGTTTTGTCATCGTCTTCATGAGAATAAATTCAGCTCCAAAGAGAAACAGATCAAAGCTGCTTAAAGTATGAACCAATTTCATTTGTCATGTGAATGACTAACAAGAGGGTTACAGCAGGAACTTAATCCAGGTCATTTCTAACTACCTGCATACTTACCTTCAGAGTGATGAAACAACCAAGGCTATTAATTATTATATGCATAAAAAACAAGTTACAATAATGACTTCCAAAGCCTCTCCTGTTCCTGTGTTATAAATAATGTAATTTCTTGCACATTAATGTTACCAAGTTCGTGTCCCTAGTCATTTCACAGAACATGTTTACAGGAAAACTTCAATGGTTTTCAAGGTGAGGGGGAGGGCATAGAGAGAGTAGGGAGAATCGCAGAAGTTAAGACTTTCTCAACAAGAGTTATCACTACGCTCCTAAATGAAGATAAATGCTAAATTAAATAGAAGAGGGTAAAAGACAGGAAATGAGGAAGCACTACATTTTCTTAAATAAAAAAATAACTTTAGCATAACCCTCAAATAAAAGCAGTAAGTTTATACCGAACACGTTTTCTTTTAAATAGTCTTCCTCCACCAAAATTCCCATCTATGTCACCAGAACTGAACTCTCACTTTCTTACCATAACTTCACTGGCAAAAAACTTCAGATTCTCTTCCTTATCTGACATCACCACCACCTCCTTTGCTGCTCTGCTCTCCACCCACCCACCCACTCTTCTTCAACATCTCTGAAAACATTTCTTTCCAGAGGATCTTTGGCTTACGAATTCCATCACACTGAGCACCCCTACATCACAACAAAGACTGAGACAGTCATTACAAACCTATTATCTCCCAGTTACATCCTGCCATCTTAGCCAGTGCCTCTACTACATGACCAGCTACTCAAACAAAACCCCAGATGGATATGCTGGTCTATGGTCTTGCAAGATTAGATTTTTCTTAAATGTAATTTACAACTTAATCTAAACTTTCGTTAACAGATGTCTGTACCTTCTGTGAAGTGTGTCACCCTTTTGGTCAACTGCTACTACGAACAACACACCATTATGCAAAAGGAATTCTTTTGAACTATGATAACAACTTTTACACTTCAGCCTTTCATACTTATTTTATGTAAACAGAAAAAGTGGAACTCTCCAAAAGCTGTTCCTGTTTGGGAATAAGCATCTCTCTATCCACTTGTCTATGCCAAGTATTTTGAGATGGCTATTGATTCCAGATGGATCCATGAGTGTTGATCCTCAGGACCAGCAGCCAGAAAATGACTCATCACCTCTTAAAGTTCAGCACAGCACCCATGTTTAAAATAGAGGTGTATTTTTAAGATAACAGAATGATGCCAACATTTTATATGTGTAATTATGTTAAATGTGCACCAATTTTTTAATCTTCTATCTCATGTCTCTACCACAAATACTCATTTATTTTATTAAATAAATATTCAAACATTTCATTATTTGTAGGAAGTTTGTTCTTAAACATCACCCAGGCTTCCAATCAGCATTTTGCTCCTGGCCTATTATCAGAATATCATCACTTCTGGCATAAAAAAGGGTTTGTGAAGATTATAGTTTTTGTCCAGGGTATAAATTTAAGGAAGCAGAACTGGTCAGGAACAAAAGCACACTATCAACTGAAACAAAAAGCTCGAATACCCTTACTCATTTTACAGCCCTATCGGAGACAAATGCCAGCAATAGCTACACTGTACTAGCTCATATAGAAACAAAATAGGAGAGGACAAAGGGTACAAAAAGAAACCAGAGAGGAAACAAAGCCAGTGGTATTAAAGTGAAGTCAGAAACAACAAAATAAAAGACACACACAGTTGCAATTACTTAAAAAGGCCTTTCTAAGCTGCTAAAAATTATTTTTAGATTCTGAACTATAGACTTAAGACATTAAATAATCACCTGCAAAAACAAAATTTATATATATTTTAAAATCTTATTTAAAAGTACTACGGTTTTAAAGAAAAAACAACAGCCTACTTGTAGAGAGAATTGCATTAAGAAGCAAAGAAACAAAGTTTCTCCAAATATCTGGCATCTGAAGCCTACACCCCTGAAAACCTCGTTTTTCAAATGGAAGCATCTGACATTAATCACAAAACTACCAATTACACCAGTTTCAATGTCTGCCTGGGCTTGCATGAAGCAATTAAAATTATAATAGTACTTTTGTATTTAAACTTATTCTATCAGAATGTATTTTTTCATGACACATTTAATATAATTAAGTACTTCCAAAATATACTGTTTGTTCTTCAGCTTTCTAACTAACAATTCTACAGTCAAATTGTTTTCTCCTGCAGATTTCCCCACACTACAAATTCAAGCACAGTGTATTTATTTTGCCAAGAAAGCCTCACAACCAAGTGTATGCTTATATTTTTACAAACTCAAACCCCTACATTCTGTAAATGGAAAAATAACATTAAAAAGTAGATCTAAGTTTTAAAAACGCAAACTACTATTGCAGAATAGAAGACTCAACCTGGAAAAAAAGGAGCCTATAAATATTCCAAAAAGTAAACCCAGGGGAACACAAGGAACACCACTGCACTTACTGATTTGTGTTTGAAATAAACAGTTCACAACAATGCCCCAGCAGAAAATGGAACACTTTATAATTATGCTGCATAAACAGACATAATAACAGGACACAAGGGAAAAGCAGTTCTTTAAAAGCCTAAATATTGTCCAGGGATGTGCAAGATCTCAGCAAACTATAAATTATTCTAAAGAATCATGAAAGACAAACTAATTAAGCGTACAAAAGTAACACATAGTATCAGACCAACACAGAACATTGCCTGGCCTTTACAACTCTTTCACAGGAATGCTGACCTAGTACAGAACACAAACAGTCTTTATATTTTGCAACCAACTAAAGCTGCTCTTCGGAAAGATGCCCCTTTTCCTCAGAACCGAGTATGACTGGCTTTCATTGACTTAGAGCAAACCCAACTCTGTGCCATGTCTCTTACACTGGGTCATCAGGTCTCAGTCTCCATGTTTACTTTACTAAATCTGAATGTTCATGTTAGAACCAGTTTGAAAAAGTCTAGTTGTTTTCAATAGCTGTTGCAAACAACAGATCCTGGACATAGCAGATTCACATTTAAAGAGTCATGCCAAAACTAGACAAGTGAGTTAACCTCCTCTTAATAAAAAATCATCCTCATGAAGCAACAAAACACAGAGTGCTTTGTTTTCTTCCAAATAGGCTCCCTCTTGAACTAAACACACACTCCAAATGAGGTCATGAGTGAATGGGCCGGAGTTAAATTAAGCATTAAATCAGAGAGAGTCACCTCAAAAGAAGATGAAGGATTTAACAAAAATAATCTTTTACTACCCTTGCTCAATCTATAAACATGTCAGAAACATTTCTCTTTTCAAGGTGGAATTAGCAGAAGTTGGCACGTACAGGAAGACACAGGCCCCACCAGTGGGATAAGGAGCCTTTGATTTTTGTTATGTAACACAACTTTATGGAAAACTTTGTAGCTTGCCAGTTCAGAGACTAGATTAAACAGAAATTATGCATTACACTGAAGCTAAACTTAGAGTGCCCTTAGGACTCCATCAGAAAGCACAATCTAGAAATTATATCTATTCAAAGAAAACGAAGAAAAGTTGTAAAAGAAAAGCAAAAAGGGTACCTTTCAAGTACATCAACTTACTGTGATTTGTCTTCTCTCCTGAGTATCTCACTTTAGCTTCCAGTAAAGATTGGGGCACACAACTACGTATCCAAAGACACTACCAGATACCATAAATTCTACTTACTGCTTGTAGGCATATAGAGGTTTCCTCCACTCTAATATTACTCAACAAAGACCAAATCTGCTCCACTGCTCCCAGCCCACCTTCAGCTGGAATCAAAGTCTTGTGCATGTGTCAGAAAGTGGAATATGTTCCCTTCTCCAGCTGAGGGGCTGATGATTATACCCACTACCCACACAATTGTGTATTTGCATATTTTAAAACATTCTGTTCACCATGTAACTTCATGATCAGCAAGGGTAGGAATTATAGCAAAGGGATCTTAACATAATGGCACATGTAAGCAACATAATCTGTGTACTTCATTATGCTTAAACTAACCACAAGTGAATCACATTTGCAATGTGCTTCTGCAGCTACATGAGAGCCACAGGAAGGTTGTACACTCAGCTGTGAATGGTAGCAGTTTCTGCATTCATAAAACGCTGTGGTCTTCCAACAGAAATTAAAGGCAAGCTCATAACTGCATCAATGTATGATTTAAAAGGCAAAATTGTCATTATTATCCCTGCTGATTAAACAATAACTTGGTTGGCTTGTCATCAATATTAAAGAACAAAGTACAGTTTCATAAGCAAAAGTCATTCAGTGAATATTCTGCCTCCACTGTTCACATAAAGCAACACTGCCCCTCTAAAATATGAGTTCTTGATGCCTTATGTGATTTTTTTATATGACTACACCAACAGGAACAGTTATCAATTGCTCTAGCTCCTTAAGAACTGAACACACCTTCACTATTTGTAGCAGTACCCAGAAAGGCTCCACAAAGCCATTCCCTCAGACTCAGAATCTGTGCATCCTACTAGATACAAAAGCACCATATGTAGCGTACAATGTCTCAGAACAAGATTCTGGTGGGTACAAGTAGGACATAATTAGAACACAAAGAAATACAAATGAAAAAACAGATACTAGGGAAAAGATGGATGCCAGCATCCAGAAGAGATGCATGATTTGAGTACACACCTTGTTTTCATGGCACTAAGGAGATTTAAAAAGTCTTTGAACATTATCTTAAAGAAGAGTGGTTTTCTTTCAATCTCCCTCCACTGTTCACCACTCCCATAACATATGCCACATCCACTCACAGAAAAGGCAAGGTTCAGAAAATCCCCTAAAATAATGTGTTACCTTCATACAGACTTGCTTTGCAAGCTTCCAGAAAAAAAAAACATGCCAGAAACATAGTACTTCACCAAAAGAAAGAAAGTCTTAACATACAGATTCTTAAAATACAGAACAGAAATTAACACACTAGGGATACAGGCAAGTCTCTCTTATCAAATAACATAGCCATAGGTCTCCATTAATCAATTAGCAGATATTTAATAGTGTCTCCCACTACAGTGGAAAAATATTTAAAGGCAAGTTACAAAATCATATTTTTATTCAAGAAATTATTTATCAGACAGCAGTAACTGCAAAGAGAATGCAATTACCCCGGAGTTCGGATGGCACGTGAACAGAAGACAACAATGCACATCTCCTACGTGTAGCATATATTTCCTTCCTTATACTGAAGCAGAAGAGTGACAAGCCCCACCAAAACATCTCTATGAGCTTTGAATAGCCCTGAAAACAACTATGAGGCAGTCAGAGAGGAAACTGAAACAGCTCTCTCCATCCACACGTAAGGTGTAGTAGCGTTGCACCTGACTACAGCAGGTTGAGGAAGATGGGACAGGACAGGCATTGCACTCTGCATTACTCCATTTGGAGAGCGTGGGGCACGCAGCAGCACTGAGAACGACATGAGGGATTAGAGAAAACATGAAGGTTACACAGATCGGTTGCAAGTTATGCAGCAGAAGACACGAGGGTCTTAGTATTACCAGCGATAACACGAAATCATGCCTTGCCGGGACAAGGCTGCACTTGAAAGGCAGAGATGTTGAACACATAACCCAGCGCACAGGAGCATACCCAGGGGCACAGCTCCATCCTGCAGGTCTACACGGTATTTCCCCTCTTCGCTGAAGGCACAAGAAGACCCACAAGGGAGTCAGAGCCGGCAGCCGGCCCTCCGGCCCGGAGGAGAAAACGCACACCCAGCTTTGCCCACACGGGACAGGCCACCCGAGCC